AGTTTTACATGCATTGAGTACATTTATGTTCCGTATCCCTTGAACTGTCTGTAGATTAATGTCACATTTCTGTTTGCAGTTGTTAACTTGACACTTATTGACCTTCCTGGACTGACAAAGGTCGCTGTAGGTAATGACTTAGTTGCTTTGGTTTTGGTAACCATACCTTCTATTATTTAACTTTTGGTACCTGCACCATTTTACTACAGAGGGGCAACCAGAATCTATTGCTCAAGATATTGAAAACATGGTTCGATCTTACATTGACAAGGTAAAGAAAATAATCTCTGTTGGTTGCTATTAGTTATAGTGTGATGCTTACTTGAGTTACTTGTACTTCTTGAATTTTCTGTGGCATATGTAGCCCATTTCCAGTATTATCCTTTGTTTAGCTTACATTGACTTGTGAGCACTATTTTCCCTGATCTGGGCACTATGAATTTACAGATAGACTTGTGTAACTCTAGTCACATAACTAGATCAAAAAATCATGAGCTGTATATTATGTTTCGCCACATATTTTTAAAACCTAATATTTTCTTTTACTTCTGTTCTTTTTTTCTGGAATCTTCAGCCAAATTGCATCATTTTGGCTATCTCCCCAGCTAACCAAGATATAGCAACGTCAGACGCTATCAAGCTTGCTAGGGATGTTGATCCTTCAGGTGCAGTTTTGATTTTTTTTTCCTCCCTACAGCATTTGAAATCACACTTTCCATTAGACAGGATTACCGATAAACCATTTTGTTGGCGTACCTAATAGTCAGTGCAGTCCCAATCATATATATTAACAATTTTTCTCTTAACATCTTAAGGTGACAGGACTTTTGGAGTCTTAACAAAGCTTGATTTGATGGACAAGGGTACCAATGCCGTTGATGTATGGCACTTTTCAATTCTTGTTTCCTCATCCTCCATGTATGTAGTACTAAAAGTTCCTCTCTCCATGGAATCCTAGGTACTTGAAGGGAGGCAATATCGCTTACAACACCCCTGGGTTGGAATTGTCAATCGCTCACAAGCTGATATCAACAAGAATGTTGATATGCTCTCAGCAAGACGCAAAGAAAAAGAGTACTTTGAGAGTAGTCCTGAATATGGTCACTTGGCACATAAAATGGGTGCAGAGTATCTTGCCAAGCTTCTGTCACAGGTGAGGGCATTTTGCTGCTGTGGCATGCTTCTAACCATAAACTTTTGAATTTCTTATACTGACTGCTGATGTGTTTCCATTTATTTATCCAGCATTTAGAGGCTGTTATCAGAGCCAAAATTCCAAGTATTATAGCCATGATTAACAAAACAATTGATGAAATAGAAGCCGAGTTGGATCGACTTGGTAGGCCAATCGGAGGTGATGCTGGGGTAAGAATTACTGTATTTTTTAATGATCTCTGTTACGTTGTGGCGAGAATTATTCATATGCATTGTCGGTGGTTTGTGCCACAAGCTGCATTATTTATTTGCAGGGATGATGCCACTGTGCATTATACATTTCTATAAATCTTGTTTATGGTGTATGTCTCTCATATTGTTCCCATAATCTGCAGGCTCAGTTGTACACAATCTTGGATATGTGTCGTGCATTTGACCGTGTCTTTAAAGAGCACTTAGATGGCGGGTAAGATATTCAATTGGCCTTTTCCATAATGTTGTTGTGCCTTCCATGATTATTGCCGATGTATGTTGACAAGTTATCATACTTATATGTATTGTTAAGATAGAGCATTTTTAAGGAATGATGTTGATAATTAACTTACACTTAACCATTACTACCTTATTTCTCAGGCGGCCAGGTGGAGATCGGATTTATGGCGTCTTTGACAACCAGTTACCTGCAGCACTGAAAAAGCTTCCATTTGACCGACATCTTTCAATGCAAAATGTTCGTAAAGTTATTTCGGAGGCTGATGGTTACCAGCCCCACTTGATTGCCCCTGAGCAAGGATACAGAAGGCTTATAGATAGTTCTCTAAGCTACTTCAAGGGTCCAGCTGAAGCGTCTGTTGATGCGGTATGACTTCTATGTTGATGCATATCTCCTTGTAGTATTCTAGTTCATGTTTGAATAGTTGATGCATAAGTGTGTGTATACATTTAGTAATTTCATATCCTAATATCTGATATTATATATTCTTGTATTATCCACCCATTACATTCATAACTGTTGGTGTACATGTACTCCTGTCTGCTGGTAAAAACTTTGGCAATGTTACTTATATTAGATAGGCACATGAGAAAAAAATAGGGAATTGCTTGGGGTCTTGGAATCATCAAAAAAGAGCTGAAATTAAAGGCTCATTGGCCTTGCTGCCAAAATCATATGATGTGCACACTATTACCATGACGGCATGACCCTAGTCTAGGGATGTCCCAATGACTGAATGAAGTCACGTTCAAGTGATGCAGTGTGACAGTGATGTTCTGAAATGTGATGGAAGCGAAGTACAAGCTGTTGGTTTGATGCTAAATTGAAATTTTTACGTTGTTGCTTGATGAAGAAAAATGTCAATATCCATGTTTTCTTGGTCATTTGAATTTTATTTAAAGCTATATTTCACAGGATCTTGGTCACTATATGCAGTTAAGGGCATCAGTGGTGGTTGCATCGGTTCATTGCCACCATGTGTACTGCCCTGGTATAAAAAAAAAATTGCTCGTGAACAATCACTCCGCAAGTAGACCCCCACAATAAGATTACGGGAAGAAAACAGTGCTACGATGTCTTGGAAGTAGTCCCGTGGTCAAAACTTTGGCAGCCAAAATAATTTTTAATGCACTTACATTACATCGACTCATAAATAAGTGTTGATTCTGCTCTCACCTGCTCATGCATTGAATATTCCAGTTGTTTGATTTGATATGGTTTGCTCCCACGCCAGCTCAGGGTTTGCTTTTCTTTGCCACTGGAGAAGCCCTAATGATGTTCTCATATTGCAGGTCCATTTGGTCTTAAAGGAGCTTGTTCGGAGATCGATTGCAGCAACAGAGGTTGCCTTCTTTGTACCTTCCTTTGTTTTGTCTTACTGGTTAATCTCAAATTGTCTTTGGTATCATAGGAATTGAAGCGATTCCCAACACTTCAATCGGATATAGCTGCTGCTGCAAACGATAGCCTGGAAAGATTCCGTGAGGACGGACGAAAGACTATTCTTCGTCTAGTAGAGATGGAAGCCAGCTACCTAACAGTAGAGTTTTTCCGTAAACTTCCTACTGAACCAGAGAAAGCAGCTGATAAGAACACTCCAGTGAGTGATAGATATCAGGACAATCATCTCAGAAGAATTGGTAAATTCACCTTCCTTTCTCTCTTTGTAGATTTGTAGAAAAAGGACATCTGATTTAGCAGAAATGTGCAACCACTTCTTAATTTCTTATCCATCAGTAGAAACGCAAGATTAAATAATAGGAAGTACTTTATCAGCCCAGTCGGTTTCCCAACAGTTGGTTGTAACTACGCTTCTATATCTCCAGTGCATTGTGGAATATGATATTGACATTAACCTAGGGAGCAATCAGGGTAGCGTTTTGCTTTTTTTCTCTACGTAAACACATGATTGTAGTACCATGGTCCTTTGTATTAGCTCATCCTGGAGTTTAGTTTCTGCATTATGATGTACCACTAGTTATGGCTTGATTGTTGTTTTATTTTCTTTTCCTTGTCAGGATCGAATGTGTCATCTTATATTAATATGGTCTGTGAGACTCTGAGGAACACAATTCCAAAAGCCATCGTACATTGTCAAGTGAAAGAGGCAAAAAGAAATTTGCTTAACCGTTTCTATGCTCATGTGGGAAGCAAGGAGGTATGTTTACCTTGATTCCTTGACTAATTACATTGTTTTGTACACAATTTGAAGACAGGTGTTTGCATTTGTAGTTAAATCTTGGTTTACTAACTACTGTTTTTTTCACATCATTTAATTGTTTTTGTAAGGCTGCACTGGTTGGGCATGCACAACAAATTTTATTAAACATCAGTTTTGTTGAATTTGATATGTAGACAGCCCTGGTTTCTTGTAGTTTGTGTACTTGTTCTCTGAAGCTTTTTCTTGATACCAGCTGATCACAGGGTTCAGAGAGAACCTGGGTGTAGTGTTCAGTTTCCCCTTATTTTAATTAATCCGGTCTAGATCGTTTCATTTTAGCAAATGGTTCTTGAAAGATTTTTACATATTCCTGATTACTCCAATTTATGCAATACAACTTGGAAACAGCTGAGCGCGATATTGGACATTGAATGAAGTTATATTTCCCTCATTTGCTTTGCTTTCATAATCCAGAAGAAACAGCTGAGCGCGATGTTGGATGAGGACCCTGCTTTGATGGAGAAGAGGGATGCCTTGGTCAAGAGGCTAGAGCTGTACAAATCTGCAAGGAATGAGATCGACTCGGTCGCATGGAAATGATTGGCTTGTGAATTGTGACAGCTACAGCTGGAATGTAGAATGTACAACCGCAGCAGCACACGTGTGATTGCAGTAGAATGTTCAATTCTTTTTTACATTTGAATTTAACCTGGAGGCCTTGTACGCAGTTTTCACTCGAGTATTTTTTTTCCAAACATGCTTATTTGGCCGCCTTGGCCTTAAACACGATTGTGTTGTGCGTGGACGATCTGGTCTCCGGTTGATATAAGAGTATAGATGTATTCTTTTGTTGATTTTACTGCCTTGATGATCTCAATAGTTTTGCCCCAGTGAGAATAATGTTTTTTTTGTATTTTATTGTGTGGGATGAGGGAGTGTTGTTAGGTGCTTGCTTGATTGTACTGAAAGTTGCAACAAATGAAATTGTGGAACAAGGATGACCAACTGACCATGGTATGGATAAATACTGCTGCGTCAGTACGTGAATCTCCGTGTTTTCGATGGTTAACGGTGTTTTCGATGGTTAACTGTTTACATGAGAAATACTAGTGCACTAATTTACTGGAAGCACTTGCAAAGGTGCAACTTAGCTACCAGTAATGAGCCAATAATAACATGTGAGGTAACTGACTACAGGAGGTCCCTGAGAGTTGTAGTTGTCCTGGCAGTCTTCTTTTTGCCCTGGAAACAAAACAAGTTTGATTTTTGAGACGTCTGAAAATGCATGTTTTATTCAACACCGAGTTTTCAAAGTAATATCTCCCATGCATTCATCACCTTGGACTCGTATTTGCTTGCTCTGCTCATAAGTCGGTCTGTCCTTCTCTGGGAGCTGCTCTGCAGCTGCAGGGGCCGGCCGTGCTCGTCATACAGTATGACCCCGCTGAACCGCGGAAGCTCGCAGCGCGTCCCCATCAGTATCCTGCGTTGCCACACCGGCGTCCTCCGTGGCGTCATCGGCGTCCTGCAGCCCTCTGCTGCCGCTGCCTTCTTCCCGTCCGCCGTGGCGCCCCTGGACACCGTCGACCTCATCCCGGCCGTTACCACCGGCTCCACCGCGACGCTTCTGGTGCTCCCGCACGGGAGCCTGGGGGGCGGCGGCGCGCGGAGCCTCCTGCCCAGCACGTCCATGCAGTCGTAGTACTCGAACCCGCGCTTCTCGGGCTTCCTGCTGCCCGCCTTGCCGTTGCTAGCCTTCTGTAACTGTAAACCCGAACGGCCAGAGCCGTGCGGTGGGTGGAAGACGACCTCCTCTGGCTTGGACGGCCGGCCGTCGTCGTTCCTGACGACGAAGAGCGCCTTCGGTGTGCCGCGCCTTGGCTCAGGCTGCTGCCGCCGCCGGTTGGCCTTGCATCGTAACATGGACGCGCAGAGCCCCATGGGACAGTCGCTGGAGATAGCAGGAGGCGAGCTTTGGAGCCCTGGACTTGGTTGGAATGAGGGTTCAGAAGGAAACTGTGCTCGTTGGCCGGTGGTTTTGCGTTGTTTTTTTTGTTTTATGGAGCAAGCAACCAACCAACCAACCAAAGCAAGATGATGACGACTAATGGGAGTGATCTAGCTGGAGAAGTAAAGGAAAGGTAGATTCAGCTGCTTGGGCTTCTTTTCCTTCCGTGCTTAGGAGTATGTATCACAAGCCTTGCTAAAGAATATGTAAATTTGGGTGTGGATCGGAGGAAAACCTTGCTAAAAAAGAATGTGTAAAATTGGGGGTGGACCGGAGCAAATTGCTTCGCTGCCATTTCTTCGACTTGCGGCGCAGGTTACCGCTTCTGCGAGGGCTCCACTGCCGCCGCCTTGTTCGATCAAAGTGCTTTACTTGCGTGGGACGTTTGTATTCCCAAAAATCCTGGTAGGCTTTGCACTGCACGGTGTTCAGATGGATATTTCTTTCCTTAAAATGTCTTCTTAAGTGGGCTCAAGACATTTGGGTTTGGACGACCATTGCGTGCCCTGATCAAGTGATCAGTCGGAAGCAGATGAAATGGTCTTAAAGAACAACAGAATAATGCTTGCAGTGCATTTCTTTCCTGCTATGGTAGCTAGTGCTATCACAGGCGGCTCTTGAAGTCGTCCCATTGCACTCCCTTCTCCAGGTACTCGATGTTGTTGGGGTCAAACGGCCCCCTCACCACGTCGATCGACTGTATGATCGCCCTCTCCGGCAGGACACTCCTCGACGGATCCGCGGCGGTTCCCCCGCTCAAGTTCGACGAGAAGCCCTGCGACAGAGCGAGATCACGCGTCAGCGACAGAATCGATGGGTCAGCCTGCGCAGCTACGCCGACCCACTACTAGACCTGGCAGCCGCATTGCGTCCACCATCGTGGCAGTTCAGGAAAAAACTGCACTGCACCAGTGCGACACAACGCTGTAGTAATAAATAAGGCCAGTGTCGTCGGTACCCTGAAGACGAGCACGACTTCGACCTCGTCGTCCACCCGGGCCTTCACCAGGAGCGCCTGGTCGCGGGCGTCCTCGGTGTACCGCTCCATCCTCGCGACGTCCTCGTTGTGGCCCCACTCCTCCTCGTCCTCCTCATCCTCATCCTCGTCGTACCGCACCTGCCGCCTCACGTGGCAGACCGCTCCGATCGCGCGCGCGTCCTTGACGCTGACGAGGAGGAGGCGGGGAAGGTGCCCGAGGCCACGCGCTGGGTGCGGGAGTGCTCCGCTGGCGCCGTGGAGGTGGAGGTGGCAGGGGCGGCCGGCAGGCGGAGAGATGGTCGGTGTGGCGCAGTGGAGCTGGAGCACCATGCTGGGTGAGGGTGAGGGCTCAGCGAGCGAGGTGTCAGGTGGATAAGGCGCGGTCTGTGCGCTGTCACTAAATCGTCGTTTCTGCAGCCTGGCACTGGCAGTGAGGAGACGAGGAGGCGAGTGGCGCCTGAATACAGTGGCCATACGCACATATATGCCCTGATGGTGCCTCTCAAATTTCTAGCAAGTTCAAGACATAGAGTGCCGTTCTAGTACACTGGTAAGTTCTGGACGAAGAAATTAGCTGTAATTTGCGAGTGGTCTCGGTCTCGGCTGGCAACAAAATGTCCCAGGCCAAGCTGCAGTTTGTCAGATTTGAGTGGTTCTCGGTAGACCTAGGCTGGCAAACTAAACTATACAATTAGTTACTTTTTTTATCTATATTTAATACTCCATACATACGTTCAAAAATTAATGTGATAGAAAGAGAATGAAAAAACTTGAAACTTTGATATCATCTAAACAAGGCCCATTAAGTATCCAGAATAAGCCAAACACGGCTCCTTCCTTAATAGTTGTAATTTAACCTTGGGCTATGACCAATCAGTGATCACTAGTGGTTATATTGCAGAGAAAACGTGCACGCTGGACAGCCGCTAATGAGGATAAGTTGCAGTTCCACCATCCACCTAACCCACAGAATGAGATGTTTAGATTACACTCTAGAGGGCACAATACTAGCACTAGCTGCAGCATAGGCATCTGCAAGGCCAGGAACAGAGTCCGTGACTGGCGATGAACTTTGATTTGAATGCTTCTTCTGTAAGATGAGCTAATGAGAAAAGGTTCATATTGCTATTCAGCAATCCTCCTGCAGCGGCTTCTCAAGACAGGGTATATCTGGTGCAGAGAGTTTCCGCTCTGTGCGAGGTCTAGGGAATGATATTAATAGCAATCCTTACCTTCGCTTGTACACGAGGAGATCGCGACTCGAACCCAGGACGGTAAGAGTCTACCGCTTGCACCAGTCCTGCCCTTCAATAATATACTGGCCTTTCAATAAATATACTGTGGCTCCATTGCAGCCTCATTGAATAGCATCAGAAAATCCTAGTATTTGTGGCATTTTAGACACTGCAATGGAAACTTTAGACTCAGAATAACCAAGAGTCCTCTTAAAGAACTCAAGCTTGGCAGCAACCCTTTCACGGGAAACACTGGTGATGATTGCCGCTGCTTGCCCGAACATCGGCGACGCGGCAGGCACCCCAAGTTCTTCTGCCCGCAGCAAAAATTCCTTCACGCGTTCCGGGTTGAAGGTAAGCACCCACGGATTCTTTAAACACACCTTAGCAACATCTGGAACACCGCCCTGACGAAACACAACTATGTTGGGCTTGATTATCTTCTCAAGGCTCGCCGAGAGAAGGTTCCTGTTCCTATTTGCCGAAGAACTCAACCGCCCTGATCAAACGAGCCGAAGAAGGAGATGAAGAACTCAACCTTGGGAGCGACGTCGCAGCGGCGGAGAGAGTGTGAGGCGACTAGGAGGAAGCGAGCGATCTAGGGAGTAGACAGGCCGACGCGATCGCGGAGAGCAAGAAGGCGGTGGGCGATGTTCTTCACCTCGGCGGCGATGTCGGCGCGGGAGAGGCCAGCGCTGGAGAGCAGCGCGAGGATGGCATCGGGGTTGGAGGCGGAGCTGAGCCGTAAGCTGGAGACCTCCTTCTTATTGTATTCTACGGATAACTGGCTGAAAGCCTTCGTGAACACCTCGCGTGCTTGGGTCGGGGCGAGGCCGCAGGTGGCGACAAGCGGTGGCGGATTCATGATGGGATCTAAGGGGCTAAGTAATGGACATGTTGATTGATAATGAAGATTTAATGATGATTTATGCTTGATGCTATAGTAAGTTAACGAGAAATTAAGGCTCATGAGGGGGGCTGGGGGCCCTGGATCCGTCAATGGCGACAAGGTAGTCCTCGAGGGAGAAGGCCCCGACTCCGAGAACCATAAGAGCACTAGCAAGGGAAGCTGCAGCAAAAGCAAGAAGGGATGTTGAAGAAGCTGAACTCAAGGCTGCGGCAGCAAGAAGCAGCAGAAGCAGTAGCTAGGGAAGAAATTGAGGTTACAATAAATGAGTTATTTGCAACTCATGCACAGAAAAATGTCCTGAAAGCCTTGGCTTTAGAAGTTGATGTCCTAAAACCTACAAAAGCTAGAAGGTATGCTATTGAGCCTACAGCTAAGAGTTCATGTCCCTCGTTGTACCATGACTTTTATTGTTTTGAACAGAACATATTCTCAGAAGATGAACTGCAAATTGAGCCTATCAAAAAAATGACACCTAGGAAGAAGTTGGCAAAGAAAGTGAGGAAGAACTAAGGATGAACTAGGAACTTAAGATGAACCGGAACATTGCTTTTATTTTGCTAAGAGCTTGAACTCTTGATAATATGTGTAATTGGCCAGAACTTTTATTTTGCATGGCCTTCTATTGTAATTAAATGGGCATAACTATCAACATATTGTCGTGTGTAATGGGCAAAGGCTAAAAACTCTATATGTATGGCTACAATGTGCCCCTATTTAGTTGTCAGAAACAGGTACTTTATGTAGTGATCTTAATTTTTCCATAACTGATGTGCCTATCTTATTTGGTTGTCATATGTGATACTATATAATGTGCCTCTATTACTTTGCATGGACACAATGTGCCTCTCTTATTTTAGATGGCCACAATTTGCCTCTCTTAATTAGCATGGTCAGAATGTTCTTATTTTTTTTATTGCCATATGATTCATTCAAACACAGACAACATGACAGTTCTAGGCCTGGGGAAAACAGAATGGGCGAGCGAGCGTCTGGGCCGTCCAGTTTTCCTGTCTTTGAGCGGGCGAGCAAACGGGCAGGGGAAGCCAAGTCTTTTTGCAGGGCACTGTTGACTGTGTCATATCACCGTGGCGTGCCAGACGAGCAAATATGGCAAAACGAAGACATAATTTTTAAAGATGCTAAATCTGTAAAAGCCATCGTAAAGATGAGAAGCAGACGAATGGTGATCTTAATAATGGTAAATATATAAAATTCCCGCAAACATGCAGTTTGCGAGTGGTCTCGGTCCCGGCTGGCAAACTCTCGTTAAGAAAATTTAAGGTAATAGTAAGAAACTAAGAAATGTGATTTTTTTTTTGTTATAAAATACAACTCCTTTCAGTTATCTTTAATGGCTGTTCTAAAGAAAATCTTTCAGCACACCAGTAAAATCCGGAAAGAAGCAACAGTTCACCTAAATCCTTTAAAAAACTTAAGCAAGTAATGATTTACTTTGCTAGCTGTCGCAGTTGCATATTACAACCAAGCAGAAGGGGCAAACATTTAAAAAGGCAAAATCATTTGCTTGTGGCACTTGTATGATGATTCAATGGAGGCAACAAGCTTATTGAGTATGCTCTGCTTCCCATACACAACACGGAAATGTACTGTTCAGGTTTTGCTGCTCTGAAAATCTAGAGGCAGTCCAAATTATACACCAACCTCCCAAGAAAACAAGCAACGGTGGTGAAACTCGTAGCATGGAAAAAAGGGACTAAGAAGTTCTCTGAAGATTAGCTTGAAGGTGTGCAATTCTCACTTCTTCAGCAAAGTCGCACTGCATTGGGCCATAATCTTTGAAGCTCGAGT